GTTTCTATTCTATTCTATTCTACTTGTGAAATGATTCGGATTTTTTTTTTTATTTCAAAGGATATATTCACAGATTGGTTTCATAAGAAAATTGTGTCAAAATCGATTTAATAGTTCAGTTTTTAAATAATATTAACTGGTTTTGACACAACAAGAGTCAGTTTTTTGTAGGACATAATCGTTAATTATAATTCTCTAACTCTTGACTCCTCCTTCAGGTAGAAAACGGTGTATCTGGTGATAATAAGTCAATCTAAGTCCTCAACAGAACCTGGCTTCAATTCACTTGTGTTTACAATCAGGCACGACATGTGGCTTCAGGGATTGCATCTCTATACATTCCTATTGTACTACTAAATGTACTTTGGAGGGGGGAGAAAGGATTGTTGGTAATGGGAATTGCTTCTTTGCTAGCAATACACCCTATCAGGTTGACCTCCACACTGTTCCCCTTAGAAACCATCGTGCTCAGATCCAAGTGAATGCATCACGATGGGCTGACTTACCTGCCTTTTCATCCTCACCTGTCGTCCTTCACTAGTGCCCCGCCAGTTTACCGTTAGCGCAGGCAGGGATACCATACCATTATCATTTATAAAAAAAATGCTTTGGATGTCGAATGCTTTACTTTATAATAATATTCCATAGGACAGTATAATAGTATATATGAAAGTAACTAAAATAAACTAATCCGGCAGTCTTGATATTTTTTTTATACAACTTAGAATGGCAAACAAGCTGACGGCCCACCTGATGGAAAGTGATAACTATCTCCTATAGACATGGGCAATACCATGGACATAACAGAGTATACTGTTTCGCCCATGATACCCCCCATGTGTGGCCATTCCTGAGGACTCAGGTGTTATTCCTCTGTACCCAGTAAATTCACGCTATATCCCACCCTTCAAACCGAAACAAAGGTACCCAAGCAATCGACTTTTGTACAAAGACTCCCTCTGGTAAGTATACTGTTTATCCCTGCATGCAGCATACGCCGCAGAACTTAATTTAGTTACAAGGCTTAGAATGTGAGGACTCCACTGAGTTTTTTTATCAACAGTGATTTCAAGAAAGACAGTCATCATCATATCTTCGTATCAGCCTTTAACTGTCCACTGCTGAACATAAGCCTCCCCCTTTGAGGGGATTTGCCGATAGTTACCACGCTTGGCAGACGGATTGGCAACTGTGGTTAGGCTTTAGAGATATTTTAATAGGGACGCTGCTGCCCATCCTTCGCCCTTCCTTACACGCCTACATCGGACCACACGAATACCGTAAGAAAGACAGTATAATGTATAAAACCTTAAATTTCGTTTGTTATTTAATTTTATGGAAAAATTAGAATTGTGATTGAAAAAAAGAAACAGAAAAAGTTACCTATGGTGTTCTTGAGAATCGATAGTAGTGCCCATGCAAATGTAAAATTGTATTGTACATAATAATTTGAAATAGAGTAACTATTGAATTTCTTGCATGTTCTTCTCAATAGATAACAACATTCCGAACTCAACTGTATAATCATAAAAAAAATAACGATTTAAAATATCTTGTAAACAATATTTTTAAAATAAAAATTATTTATTCTATTCTATTCTATTCTATTCTATAAGAAAATATTTTCCCTTATGAAACATATAATATCGTTCGAAAATATCGTACTCTCATAAAACACTCAGACAAATCTAATTTCGCAATATCACAATAAAACGAATTCGCTCTATAAAATTGGCGAGCCTTAAAAAATCTGCAGAATAAAAATCAAACAAAAATATCACGCACCAAACGCGCAAAAACAAAACAACGCCCAATCAGATTTAAAAACGTCGGCAGTCAATAAAGCGAAGGCAAATAACATTATCTTATTGTCATTCACTCTGCGATCTCCATCCCCCGTCCGCCCGAACACCCTAATCCCCCCTATCCCGCTGTTTGCGTTCGAAAGAACTTGGGAAGACGATTAAACTCATAAGTGCTTCGGACTATATTCATTTGAATATTAGTTTACGTAACATTAGGGTATTTTTTTATACTACTGTAGTGGCAAACAAGCATACGGTCTATCTGATGTTAAACGGGGTTAGCGTAGTCTATGGATGCCTGTAACACCAGGGGTATCACGCGCGCGTTGCTAACCCTTAAGAAACCTGCATCATCATCATCGTATTAGCTTTTAACTGTTCACTGCTGAACATAAGAGTCCTCTTAAGGAGTTATGCCAATAGTTGCCATGCTTAGCAGGCGAATCGGCAACCGCAGTTAAGCTTTGGAGATTTTTTAAGAAGGACGCTTCTGCCCATCCTTCGCCTTCCCTTAGTCGCCTCTTACGACACTTACGGGAAAGGAATGGATGGTCTATTCTATGCCGGGACCACACAAGAGTTTTAGAACCTAAGAAACCTTAATAAGCCCTTTTTGAAGAACCTCACATTGTAGTCTGTAGAGATATACAGAAAAAAAACTAAATATTTACATAATCAGGAACTAAAACACGAATCTGAATAAAAATACATGAATACTTTGTTAAAATATAAGCAACTTTATTTGTGAACACATACACACACACACACACGCACGCACGCATGCATGCACGCACGTATGCACGCACGCACGCACGCACGCACGCAAGCACGCACGCACGCACGCACGCACGCACGCACGCAAGCACGCACGCACGCACGCATGCACGCATGCACGCACGCATGCACACACTAATGAACTACAAGAAACCTTGTTTTTTATATCACTAAGATGGCAAAAAAGCATACGGCTAACCTGATCAGTTGAACGGTTTTGGAGATTAATATGAACAAATATTAAAATATGAGATTACACTTTGAAACTGGATTTCCAGTCCAAATCTTTTAACATTTAATAATTTCCTAGTAATACGTACCTAGAAATCGTTACTCGAAATTTAACAATTCAAAACATTTCTCTTGCCTTGTTATAACTTCTATAAATTTATTATGTAGCCTCTTTATGATGAAAGTACAAAAAGTTTTTAATTCTTTCGACACGAGTAGAATCTGAAGGGTTTTTTTCTAGACATTTTTTTTTATGCAACTTAGAATGGCAAACAAGCTGACGGCCCACCTGATGGAAAGTGGTAACCGTCGCATATAGATGAGCAGTGCCATGGACATAACAGAGTATACTATTTCGCCCATGGTCCCCCCCCCCCCACCATTTGTTGCCATTCCTGAGGACTAAGGTGTTATTCCTCTATACCCTGTAAATTCACTGTCATATATTTTTCAAACCGAAATACAGCCGTGCAAATACAACTGCTTCATGGTTTGAACATGAATGGGACAGAGGTGCCCAAGCAAACGACTATTGTACAGACTCCTTCTGGTAACATTTCTTAAAATATTTTTTTTTAAATTCATAGTTTAAAAAAAACAATCATACTGCTCAAAAATCGCTACCTTACATTGCAAATACTTGAATTTAACATTTACGTAGCGAATTGCGTATCTACCAGCTGATTTTTTTTTGTAACAGATTTACAGATAACAGATTTGAAAACACGCAAGCACGCAGGCACATATACACACACACACACACACGCACACACACACGCACGCACGCACGCACGCACGCACGCACTCATACGCATACGCACATACACAACGCACACGCACAGATTCAATTTGAAGGCCCAAGCAAAATATGTAACATTGCAACCCTATATTTGTTAAAAAACATTTATTATTATAATTGTCACAAAATATGAAACCAACACGGAAGTAAACTGTAACGATTCAAAGTAGAATTAAAGGAAACAGCATCAACTAATATAATTACGAAAAGGGCCAAAACAATATATTTGTTAAATTATAGAGAATAAATATCCGATACGTAACATCAAAGGGTCTGTGTTTTATTAAAAAAATAACTTGCATGTAATATAATATACGTACTTGTATATTTTTCAAAGGGCGAGACCTTTTGTTCACCTTATCGTAAAGAAAACTTATGAAATATCCTCTATAATATTACATTGACTCTTTTCACGGTAAGGATGCCAACAGATCCCTGGTCGTAATAAAATATTATTACGTGTTTTCGGTTTTATTGGATTTAACGATTACGGAAATTACTAGGTGTGTTGCTTGACTTTTAAAAAAAAAATACAAAAAATAAAGAAAAAAAGAAATTATAACAAAAAGATGGGAAAAGGAAAGAATATATTCAAAATCATGTGAATTATATAATGAATAATTTACACATAAACACGAGTATTGTTATCTCACTCATTTCTGTCAAGCAGCTGTACTGAATGGTAACCCCATCTGTACTAATGGTACACCCGCGCGAAGCACCAGTGATAGATCAGATTGAAAATGCTGATCGTTATGAATACACTTGATTTTCGGCACGATGGTTTCCACAATGGATAGTTGGTTGATGGATGGGGGACCATGTGGAAATCGACCTGATAGGGTATATTGCTAGCAATGGGACTGTAAGCCCGCATTATTATCAATCCCCCCCCCCCCCCTCTTGGTGCTCGTCTGGTAGTATTTAAGTTTTTTTTTGATGGGTGAAAATGGTATGGTAACCCCGCCTGCGCTAACGGGATACGCTGGCGGAGCACCAGTGAAGGGTGATAGATGAGAATGAAAACAGGCCAGTTAGCCCATCATGATGAATTCATCAGGAATTAACCATGATAGTTTCCAGGGAGAACCGCGAGGAGGTCGACCTGGTTGGGTATATTGCTAGCAATAGGATTCTCAATCTCCATTACTAACAATCCCTTTCCGCCCGGTAGCATTTAAGTTTGAAGAGTGTGATATAATAATCAAATTACAGGTTTAACTCCCATTTTCGAGGAATACCATCACACGAAGGTCACCATGGGTATCACAGTGCATTCTGTGATACCTATGGTGCTGTTCATGGCTGTAAACAGTTACCATTGTCTAGTAATCCATCAACTTATATGCCATTTCAAAATGTATAAAAAAATCTCTCTCTTTCTTCTACAGCCATGTCGTGCCAACGTCTCTCTTCTAGAAGAAGATATATGGAGGGAGCAGCAGTGCAGTGCGCATGATAGTACACCATACGGTGGGGAGCTGTTCCACTGGAGAGCTCACCGTGATGATGCGGAACCCTGTGCCTTGACCTGTCGAGGTACTCCACAGCATTCTGGACAAAGACCTGAACCGGTAAGTCTTTTTTTATACCACGAAGATAGCAAACAATTATCCTAACCTATGGACGTCTGTAATACTAGGGGTGTCACGTGTGCGTTATCGATCCTGAAGAAACCCAAATCTAATCAAAGTCTGTTTAAAAACAAGCTTTTGTAGTGGATTGCACCTCAAAAGCTTGTTTTCATCATCTTGGAGCAATGAGTGTATTGAATTTAGTTTAATGTCACTTCATTGTTGTCAACTATTCAAGCCTTCAGGTGTAAGGGGAGTTAAAAAATACATGATCTGCCATCCTGATCTTTTAGACCTTCCCTTGAAAATATTTAAGAAACGGCTTCATCTATGGCTTCTGGATAAGGTCTTTTACAGTATGGGAGAATATTATGCCTACACATCCCAAAAATAGTTAACATAATTATTAATAATATAAATCCTTAAGACTTGACATAAATTTGCTATTGACATAACATATGGAATGTAATTTGTATTTAATTAATAATAATAATGTAATTGTTAATTTTATTTGACGATATTGAATATGTAATTTGACTTGATAATTGTTTGAGCATTGTTTTCTTTTTTTTTTATTATTCTATGATCATAATAATGTACTAGTATAAATTAAATTTGTATCCTTATTTAACGAATAAATTAGATTTGCATGCCTACAATTTTAAGGCAATTAGACAGATGCCAAAAAGTTGTGTCACATGGCCCTTATAATGTCAAATGTCTGTTTAAAGCAAATAAATATTTCATTTCATTTCATTTCATTTCATTTCATTTCATTTCATTTCATTTCATTTCATTTCATTTCATTTCATTTCATTTCATTTCATTTCATTTCATTTCATTTCATTTCATTTCATTTCATTTCATTTCATTTCATTTCATTTCATTTCATTTCATTTCATTTCATTTCCTGTAATAAGGATCGCATTGAAAATATTACAACATTACAATAGAGGGCGAAATAGCATGCGGCTCATCTGTTGGTAAGTGATTACTGCCGCCCATAGGCACATAGGCATTAGTTTCATCCCAATCATCTGGACGAGTGGCGGTCTTCCACCGTACGTTTTTCAAGGCACTTTTTTCCACGCACAACCATTCTATGGAATCAACTTCCAGCAGCAGTATTTCCGAACCGATACGACAACATAACCTTCAAGAAAAGAGTATATTTCTTTTTAAAAGTGCCGGCCTTTTAAAAAGAAATATACTCTATTGCCGGCACACCTGCAATGCCGCTGGTGTTGTGGGTGATCATGGGCGGTGGTAGTCACTTACCATCAGAGGAGCCGCATGCTCGTTTGCCCCCTGTGTTGTAAAAAAAAAAATGGGAAATCGCAGGTGTATTTCTGGCGTTATAAAAAGGATTTATTACATATTGCATTGTCATTAGAAATATGCAAAAATTTTAAGTCAATCCAATCTCAAAATCCACGATGATTTTCTACAGGAAATCACGTGAATTTCTAGTGAATTCGTCATAATGGACCAGTCGATCAGAATTTATCTTTATACTAAATTTACATATGATCTACACTTATATGTATTATAAAGAGGAAAGATTTGACTTGTTATTTCTAATGGATAAACTAAAATATTACTTGACCAATTTCAAAAGTTTTTTTAAACTATAGTAAACTATAATATTAGCAAGTAAACATATTTACATACATACATATCTGTCACGCCTATCTCATATTAGAGTAGGCAGGATCAATGGAATGCCAAATGCTTCGATTCAAACAAACCTCTTTCGCTTCATCCACATTCATTAATCTTTACACGCTCGCCGGTTACGGGTACTTTTAATTTGGCCCTTCTTCAGCACGTCGCCTATTTGGTGGGCATACGTCCATTTAGGGCGGCCCCTATCGACATCTCCATTCATTCTTGCTCGATAAATCTCCTTCGTAATTCTTCATTCATCCATCCTCTCCAAATGGCCAAACCAACGCAACATTCCTTTTTCGATTTTTGTCACTACATAGTCATTCTGTCCACACTTCTCTCTATTTTAACAACATATTTTTTATAACACATAATTTAGTTTAGTTAACGTACTCTAATATTTTTTTTTATACAACTTAGAATGGCAAACAAGCTGACGGCCCACCTGATGGAAAATGGTAACCGTCGCCTATAGACATGAGCAGTACCATGGACATAACAGAGTATACTGTTTCGCCCATGATACACCCCATGCGTTGCCATTCCTGAGGACTCAGGTGTTATTCCTCTGTACCCAGTAAATTCACGCCATATCCCACCCTTCAAACTAAAACACAGCCGTGCAAACACAACTGCTTCACGGTTGAAACACGAGTGGGACAGAGGTACCCATGCAATCTCTAGATTAACTCTAATATTAATTGTTATATAATGAAATAGTTAACATAATCTAATATTATTTGCGAAAATTCTAGCTACACGTGTGAAGATGGACTGGGTCGCTAACGTATTATATCTGTCATTTCATTTAAATCTGTCTATTAATTTTTGCCTGATAAAGTAACGATCAATTTAAGCATTTTTCTATTCTATTCTATCGATCCAACGTTAGAGTTTCGCGGTTACAACAATAATAGGATATGAAATGGCATATGTACGAATAATATTATTTTTTATAAGATAAAAGTAACTTACAAAAACCCAACTGTTACACCGTAGTTCTGTCTGGAAGATTCCACTAACACCTCTACCGTAAACTGAGTTAGGATGACAAATCCCAAACGGATTAACTTTCCTCGAGTTACGCCCGGGTCTACCTTTCTAAATTTCTGCCCGGGGGACATTTTTGTTTGGCTATTATGTTACCAACAAGGGACGTCGGTTATTATTGTTTAAGATGTCAATTTTACTGCTAAATATTAAATGTGCATTTATAACCGGATCTGTGTTAAAAAATTAAAGACTTTATTCTAGCAACTTGCCCCAGTTTTGCACCGTTGCAATTCTTTTTATGTAACTTAGAATGGCAAACAAGCTGACGGCCCACTTGATGGTAATTAGTAACCGTCGCCTATAGACGTGAGCAGTACCATGGACATAACAGAGTGTACTGTTTCGCCATTCCTGAGGACTCAGGTGTTATTTCTCTGTACACTGTAAATTCACTGTCATAGCCCACCCTTCAAACCGAAACACAGCCATGCAAACACAACTGCTTCACGGTAGAAACACGAATGGGACAGAGGTGGCTAAGCAAATGACTTTTGTACAAAGTCACCCTCTGGTAAATCCTACTACTATATTAAATTTGTGAAGATGCATAGATGAATTTATATTTGTGACTGTTTCACGCAGAAAAGCTAGTAAAAATATTTGAATAAAATTTGATACGAGGAGAAACTATATATTCATTTAGAATAAAGGATACTGTATACATTGTTTAACGCCGGCGAATCCGCAGTATTTTAATGTATCAACTATTAACTCTGGTGGAACCGCGTGGAGGTCCACCTGATAGGGTGTAGTGCTAGCATTGGGGTTGCTAATCTTCATTTCTAACAACCCCTTCCCCTCCCATATTTATGGGTAGGAATATGCTCTTATCCTAATATGCTCGTAGAAATAGGCCGGCATCACACCTGTAATTTCTCTAATACTGCGTATGGGCGGTGATAATCGCTTACCATCTGGTGAACTGCATGCTCTTTTGCCTAAACAAATAATACATATATCCTTCCTTTCAGACGGTGTCCTTGGATGACGATGACCGCGTTGTGGTCGCTGTACTTGCTGCCAGGGTCTCTGATGGTACGAGATGCAGGACAGGAAGTCTGGACATGTGCATTGACGGGCGGTGTCAGGTAAGGTCTAATTAAAATTAGATGTGTGTATGTAAGCGTGTGTATGTGTATATGTATGTATGTGTGTATATGTATATGTATATATATGTATGTGTGTATGTATGTATGTGTATGTGTGTGTATGTATGTATTTTGCATATATAAAAAACGATCATTGTCATTAGGCAAATGTGAAAACGATTCATGGCTTAACATAGATATAAATTTGATTATGTATTGACTGTAATTCAGCTGTACGTTTTCCAAAAAATAAATAAATAAATAAAAAAAAATTATAAATTGTATATAACTTATAGTGCATAATTAGACCTGTTCCAATATTTAGACCTGTACCATATTATAGAATAATAAAAAATAAATAAATAACCAAATTAGCTATTCTCTATCAAAGGGCTTCGCTTACCAATGAACGAGAATAAATTTTTATTTAATATAGATTCCAAAGTTCTTCGCTTTGGGATTCAGTCTCACCATTTTACTAGTACACAGAATGGGAAATTACGTTCTTTTTTATACAACTTAGAATAGCAAACAAGCTGACGGCCCACCTGATGGAAAGTAGTAACCGTCGCCTATAGACATGAGCTGTACCATGAACATAACAGAGTATACTATTTCGCCCATGCTACCCCCCATGTGTTGCCATTCCTGAGGACTCTGGTGTTATTCCTCTGTACCGTATAAATTCACGTCATATCCTATCCTTCAAACTGAAGCAGAGTCATGCAAACACAACTGCATCACGGTAGAAACACGAATGGGACAGAGGTACCCAAGTAAACGACTTTTGTACAAAGTCTCCCTCTAGTGACTTACCAATGTAGTTTACCAATAAACAACGATTAATTTTCATCTATATAGAATCCAAAGTTCCAATCTTCGCTCTGGGATTCGGTCTCACCATTTTCCTGGTACACAGAATGGGGAATTACGCTAAATGGCACACAACACTAATTGCTTTTTAACTGTTTACATTCTCGTTTGAGGCAAACAATACCTAAGATAACATATAATATGTTGAGTTTAACGAACAATGTCATTGTAACCGAAAATTCCTTGCACGCTTGCGTACAAAATGGCGGAAGGTATTGTCTCAGACACGATGTTGTGGCTGCACAAATGAAGCAATCTATTTACATGTAAAATATTTATTGAAATATGTCATACATGCTGTAGGGATAAATGGGTACTGGAGGTTCCGTGAAATATCTGAGTGGGTTTACGTTTTATAAGAGGTGGGAGTAACACGTAAGTCTACCTGTGACCACGGCTGCTATACCCTGGTTGAAATGTCGAAATAAACCAAGTAAACTACCATAGTCAATATAATAGATAATTAACGCATTTATTTAGACATATACGTTAATTATCGTCTCTTGTAAACCATCATGTCTGAGAATACAACGAGATCTAATATCTAATATTTAAATCTATTACGCCTTTTAGAATGTTTGATAAAAGGACAATATAAAGAGATATTATTTTTTATGCTACTAAACCAAATAAGCAAAAAGCTCACCTGATGAGAAATAGCAGCCATCACCTATGGAAGTGAACAGAGTAATTTCTCACTGGTGCTCCACCAACATACTGATAAAGCAGGCAGGGTTACCATTCCATTATCATTCATTAAAAAATGTGACCCGTCCTATCCCATTTGAGCCTGGCCATCTTCCAGTTTCCAGGGGTATCCATTCCTTCCCCCCTAGATCGTTAATAATTCGCCGATACTGTTTTATAAAGCTCAACTAAAATTGAAAGTAAATGCAAACATTATTCAGCATCTCGTAGCTCGTAACTTTCAGGACCATTGACCTCCATTACACCGTAGTTCAATCTCGTTAGTTATATAAAAATAAACTCGTTATCTACAATGCTATGTATCTACCTTACAGTGTGAACTAGTTCGCCCGTGCTGTGAATATTTAATGGTGTACCGTCACAATTTATAAACTTAGAGCGATATTGAAATGGTGGTAATAGATACATCGCCGTGTCGGTCCCGGCATAGAATGGGATACCCCTTCCTTTCCCGAGGGAGTCGTAAGAGGCGACTAAGGAAGGGTGGAGGGGTGAGCAACAGCGTCCCTCTTAAAATATCTGTAAAGCCGAACTGCGGTTGCCAACTCGTCTGCCAAGCGTGGCAATTACTGGCAAAACTCCCTTTATGGGGAAGGATTATGTTCAACAGTGGACAGTTAACATAATAATAATCGTCGGATCTATACTAACAGTTACTGAACATAACCTCCTCCATAAGAAGGGTTTGCCAATAGTTGTCACGCTTGACAGGCGGGTTGTTAACCGCAGCTTGGTCTTTGGTGATTTTTAAGAGGGACGTTGCTGCCCATCCCTCCACCATAAGCTCCCTAAGTCGCCTCATACAACACCCACGAGAAAGGAAGGGGTGGCCTATTCTATACCGGGACCTACACAGCAAATATACTAAAAGTAATATTAATTAATCCTCAAATTATTGTGTTAATTCTCGTTTATCATGAATCATACAATATGCTGAGGTTTTCCCAAGAGCATACAGTTCTTCAAAAGGGGGATACAGAGGTTACTTTAGGGTTGGCAACGCGCGCGTAATACCCCTGGTATTGCAGGCGTTCATATGCTACGGTAACCAATTTTTTTTTATATACGACTTAGAATGGCAAACAAGCTGACGGCGCACCTGATGGCAAGTGGTAACCGTCGCCTATAGACATGAGCAGTACCATGGACATAACAGAGTATACTGTTTCGCCTATGATACCACTTGCCACCTGAGGACTCAGTACCCTGTAAATTGATATGCAAAAAAAATCTGGGACCTAAACGACTTTTGTACAAAGTCTCCCTCTGGTACTTACCATCAGTGGTATAAAAAAATCTACCTACATATAAACTACCTAAAAACAAAACCGCTACAGTCGTTGACTTACAACCGACGGCAAATGTAGCATCATAGTGCAGTAATTCAGTTAGTTATGCTTTGCGGACGCAGACTGATATAAACAGGCCTCTTTCCCTGAAAACTGAGTGGAAATATCGTGCACATTGCTGTCTGAACTATTGCTGTACTAATTGGTGAGACTATCTGTACTTGCAAGTCTGTTACAGTTTTTTTTTTTTATATATACCACTGAAGTGGCAGACATGCATGTGGCCCACCTGATGGTGAACGGTTACAATTACAGTTTGCAGGTACAATTGTGGTAAAACAAAAAATTACGCTCGTTAAATTATAATATCGTTAATTTACTACCATGGAGCATACTGAACAGCGCCATCTAGTGCCAAAATGAATTACTCGTAATTCTATTTAATCTTGTATGTTTATAAAGCTATTATATTTTAAGGATAAAATATAGAAATTTTTAAAAATCTGTCCGGTTTTTTTTTCAAAGGATTTTGTATGAGTTGATATTGGAAAGAAAGAAAAATATTTTATAACCAATAAAAAACTGAGGGGAAGGGATTGTTAGTAATGCGGACTACCAGTCTCATTGCTAGCATTATACCCTGTCAGGTTGACCTCCACGTCGTCCAGAGGGAAATCATCTTGCTGCATGTGATGAATATACCATTTTTTTTAACGTCTGGAAAATGCTTTATGCAGGCCCATACACCTTGTGGGAGGAGAATGGGTACTGTGGGAATCCCCCCGTAAGGCGGGGGTGTACCCACCAAAAACCAGACGATATACCCTTGAGGTGCCATATGTCGGAGACATGGGTTCGCTTTCGCACGCATCGGCGTGTATTCATCATGATGGGCTCACGGACCTGCCTTTTCAATTTCACCTATCATCCTTTACTGGTACTCCGCCAACGAATACCGTTAGCGCAGGCGGGGTTACCATTCCAATATCATACATTCGGGGAAATTGATTATTAATAATGGTTTAGGAAATATGTAAATATATGACGATGAGGTATTTGGTGGGTATGTCAGTAGATAAATTAAAATCTGACTTACTGTTGTAAAATGTTTAAGTACGTTCACACAATGTTCACAACTCACATAAGCACATAAACACAGAAGGAGAAAGATTATACAAGCACAGATATATACATTACAAGATCTAGGACACAAACAAAGATAATAATTAGCGAGCATATATATATTAAATAAGCGAAAGCGACATTCAAATATTAAAACAACTGTCCAGCAAAGCGGTAGTTTTCGACTGGTCTATGCGCCCGCGCAGGCCGCGCGGCTACCGTCACGAGTTAAAAATAGATCGAGCGGCAACGCTACTCGACTGCACGTTTTCATTACCTCTATACGATTTTAGACCAGCCGGCACGATTTACCGTGTGTAAGATATATAAATAAATATATGTGAATAAATATTTGTAAATAAATAAATTAAATATAATATTAATTGTGCAAGTCATTTACAATATATAAATAAATATTTGTAAATAAATAAACAAAATTATATTAAATATGTAAGTCGCCTACAATGGGATCTAATGAACCCGTTGCTAGCAATACACCCTATCAGGTCGACCTCCACGCGGTTCCCCCTGGAAAGCATCGTGGTTAATTCTAGTTGGATTTGTCATGATGGGCTAACTGACCTGTTTTCATCGTCACCTATCATCCCTCACTGGTGCCCCGCCAGCGTATGCCGTTAACGCGGACGAGGTAATTATTCCATTATCATCCATTAAAAAAATCCCCATCTACGACAATACATTAAATATAAAGCTACCGACATATTATAAAAACATTCAGACATTCCCAATAATAACATGGACAAGATTATTCAATGGCCGTGCCAGAAGTCGAAATAAAACGAGGAATCCATAAACTTTATTTTAACAAGATGAAAAGGTTGGGACAGGATTTGAATATAGACAAATCGAATCATGGGCTCTGTACTTATATATGTATTGACACGGGTCCATCCCTTCTCGAGGCGTATGACAGCGACTGGACACAGATATACTATATCTAGTGTATAGCTTATTGTATTTATACTAAAACAATCTGTTTCCACGGCTTTGATCGCATCATAACAGCCTTTAACTGCTGAACATAAGCTTCCCGCTTGGAGAATTTGGCCAGTAGGTGCTACGCTTGGCAGGCGGATTGGCAACGGTAGTTAAGCTTTCATGATATTTTAAGAGGAACGCTGCTGGTCATTTTTTTTTTATACAACTTAGAATGGCAAACAAACTGACGGTCCACCTGATGGAAAGTGGTTTCGTCTATGATACCCCCCTGGCGTTGCCCTTTCTGAGGAATCAGGTGTTATTCCTCTGTACCCAGTAAATTCACTAATATCCTTTACGCATTTCCAATGTTCCCTTTCTTTTTTCTCCTCAATCCTTTCCCCCTTACCGTAGGTGGCAGAAACCACTAACAAATGCATTCCCAAAGAGGGTTGACGTCAGACAGGCGGCCAGTCGTAAAACTATAAGTCAAATCTTTTTGTAATATGGATAAAACCATATTACGCCGACCCCAAATAATAATTGGGATAAGGGCAACAGGATGATGATGATGATGATATAAATATTTTCTTCATAAATCGTTACGCATCTGTGTGACAGGATGGCATTCTCGTAAAATCGATTTATTTCAATGCTAAATAATTTGTCATTCAATTTTATACCTTACTCCTTTACGATAGACTATAAAGTAACAATCGATCTACAGGTAAAAGTTCTCGCGTGCCTCGAGTTACGCCGTTTTCTTTCCAATTTTTATTATATTATTTGTATTTTTCTTAGGCAGTCCTAAACAGTTAAACGAGATGGATTTATTTTACGAACAACTAAATGTCGCCATCAAAAACCGGTATTCCTAACGGGAAACCGGTTTCTGTATTCCAACACTTACAATGTTAGGCAATGAAGTTTCCTAGAAATTATTTAGTAGTCTATTCATATGAAGAGGAAGACTCGGTTCCTATGAATTCCTCTTTTTAATCCTGTTTTTACATGTATTATTAAAAGTAGATCCTCTTTAACCGACTTCAAAAAAGAAGATTTATTAAACTTACTGTTATAATATCTCGCAATAAAAAAAATATTCGATTTTATTAGTACTATATAAAAAGAAAAATATATGGTATATAAATATATTTAATAAAAATTGTTTATTCTTAATTATTGTTGGTATGTCGGTATGTATCTTTGTTCCGGCATCATGCTAAAACTACTTTTTTCACTTTTTATCTACTCACCGCTCGCCATCGACAGAGAATTCATCCTCACACGCTTGAACCTAAATAGTCACGTACAGTAAGGTTACAAAGGAATTTTCTCCCGCAAACGCTCAGGCTGTGGAACGAGCTCCCTGCCGAGGTTTTCCCTAGAGACTACAGTATGGAGTTCTTCAAAAAGATTCCTTCAGGGTCAGCAACGCTTAGGCGTCCTTAGGCTACAGTAACCATTTACCATGTTTGCCATCTTCGTGATATAAAAAAAAAAACTTTATTATATTGATAGCAGTTTTCTCAGTTATGTCTGACGATCTAACGTGAAATCTGATATGAATTTTAACTTTATACGCCATCTATTGGTTAACTAGCTTAGTTTATCATTTAAGTGAACATGAGCTCATTTGCTCACTGTTTTAAAATTAATAAAAAAAAATACTAACCAGTATATTAAACATAAGAATTGAAATCAACTATTTTCCCATTAAAATATAACTGAGTAAGTTTCCATTGGAGTCAAAACTGATTTTATAAATGGTCTCGAACCGCAGATTCGATTTACGCCCGCTGAAAAGACGTAGACCCAGACAGGAGTGCCTTTTGTTGATAAACAAGAAGCTCTCGGCTCTATTCAATTGGCCCCAATAATTAATTATCTATAGCGAGCGAAATAGCTTGAATATTATAAATTGTACGATCCTTTTAGCTAATTACTTTAATATTGAACGAATTGAAATATTGCGGTAGGTTTCTTATCGTTATTTCTGCATTAGTATTGTTTGGTAAGAGATCGTAAATAGAATGTTGTTTTGTTCAATGTACAATGATTGCTTATTTCAATTTCAATTCAATTTATTCGTAATAACATTGAATATCATGTTGAATATTGTTTCTTCTTTTCATTTAAGAGTTTCCTCTTGTCGGTGCAACTAATTCATCTTCCTCCAGCCAGTTCTATCCCAGGCCATATCCTTTATCTCCCTATACGACATGACGCCTAGTGTTTCCTTTATCTGTCCCATGTAGTTAATCCTCGGTCTTCCTCTTCCTCTTTTGCCCTCTACCTTTCCTTCTACTATGGTCTTAAAAAAATCGTCATGTCGTATAAGGTGGCCCAGCATTTTGCCTCTTCTATTCTTTATTATTTCAACCAATATTGTTTATAAGTTATAAATTAATAACAAGATCGAATTGGTGATGAGGAGGTCTTACTTAAGGTTAAGAAAAAGACACAAATTATAAGAACTATTGAGGTTAGAAGGGGAAAAATGTTGGGACACTTGATACGATACGACGAACTTATGAACATTATAATAGAAGATAAGATAAAGGGAAGGAGGAGAAGAGGGAGACTAAGGCGTAGTTACATCAGGCAGATCAAGGAAAAAGTTGGTGTCGTGTCATATCAAGAGGTGAAGAGACTCGCTGAAAATCGTAGTGAGTGGCAAGAGCTCCACCGACAAGAGCGCAGCTCTTAAATAGAAAATTAAATTAAATAAACCTATATCAGAAAATAATTTTGCAGTACACAGAAATATATGAAGAAATGAAATAATAAAGAATAATTGTCTAAAAATTATAAAACTAACATATATTGTATCGTCCCAAACGGCGCTTCAATCGATTGATTATTCGATTCTTAATCGAATGTCCACACACCTCGCGGATATGAACCGATTACATTATTATTAAGTTGGAGGGCAGTTAGTGAACTTGTCCTTGCACTCGGTTTGAAATCACGTACCGTCGCGAATCAAGAGCATATAACCAAACAGTGAACTAGGAGATCTTCATATTAAAGATTCATATCAAATAGTGTATATTTAAAGATATTAGTGTAGGCCTACCAATCCAGAATCTATAACAGCATCCAGTCAAAGGTGGAAAGCAGTGCGGCGCATGAGATTCCTTCAAGTAAGTGTACGTACCTTCTTAAATATTGTAATCGCTTCATCCTCATTATCAGAAGTAAGGACAAACGTATTTCCACCGCTTAACGGTGTCCCTACATATATCATTAGTGAGGCAGGTATATACTGTACATATTAAAATTGCTTATTCAATCTACCTTTGAAGGATCCAAGATCTAATGTTTTAAATGTTATATCAATTAAGTGGATGCACTTTACCAATAAAAGATTATAAACTTTTTATTTTTAAAACTCTCCATTTTCATTGGTTTACAATGTATCGTGTAATTTTTTATACAATTTAACTGCTTGAAATTGTGCGCCATATTTATATATTTAGTTTTGGTTATATATAATATACAACAATTTTTCGTCTAAAACTCATGCGTATTCCTCTATTGACTCATTTCACTTCTTCACATAATGTTTTTTAACATAGTCTATAACCATAATCTATATATACAGGGTGAAAGGGGCAAGTTGGCCAAAATGAAAACAGCTGATTCAGATGATTGGTCTAAGTCAGAAAAATCAAGTGGGCAAATAATCTGCCATTATTTACCCACCCGAAATGTACAACAGCCATATAATTAACGATTTTTAGTTTTCACGCCGCGCAATGTATTAGAAATTTTACAATCCACACGACGCGTGATACCTACAAGGCGCGCTCAATAGCACTTCTCCGTAGGTAGTTTTCGATCGCTTGTTAGCACTTGTTCCTCACGTCGCGGTAGAATTTTAATACGTGTATTACATTGCTGTTTTTTTGATATTTCATAATATTTCACTATAAAATATTATTTCTTTATATTATGACATAATATCATAGATTACTCGTATATGGATTTAAATAAAAAAAAAAAAACAAAAAAATTGAATTTTTCCAGAAACAATTTCCACTAATTTTCAGTTCTGAAATAATTCTAATAGTCTGAATTCACTATTTCAGTTTTTGTCCACATGTCTTTTACACTCTGTATAAACTGGGAACAGTAAAAATGCCATATTTTATGAAAAAAATCCTACAAGATTGCCACTGCGGAATCCGAGCGAACGTCCTAATTGCCTTTTCTACGTTATAATTGTAGATTTTTTCTTATTATATGAGGGATGTCTTTATACATTTTTATATCTTTATATATAAGCCGTGATATAAAGCCAGTAATACATATATACACGAGCAAACTTTTTAACATGATAACAAAATGTTTTGTTAAACCACCTAAGTTTGTAATTATAATGAAATTTGCCACTGTCGCACCCACAAGCTCAAACTCGAAATATGCTAATCGTTTTAAGCTTCCTGCCCCAGTATCTTTAGGGTTGACACCTGGGTCAATGTGCCAATATTTAATTCTAACTTTTGTACGGAAA